AATCTCTGAAATGAAAACATTTTTGTATAAAAATAATTTATGAGTTTTATGACCAATGATGGGGTAATAAAAAACTGACACCGAAATCCCTATTGAAAATTTAGGATTTCATGCGTCAATTAACGTATGCACATAATTTGCATGTTGGAAACTACAAAGTGATGTCCTGACTGCGGAATTAATCGACATGTGCTGAGGAAAAACAGAAAACCAAATGTTTCAGACCGAAATTTAAGTATGCGAACTTGAATGTTAAAAAAGGGATAAGTCCAACTCGCTTCAAAAATAAAGAAACAAGAAAAAGGAGCTTATGGCGGATTTATTTGGCAACACACGTGTCTATGTAGTCCGCAAATCCCAATGTCTGAGAACCATTTTCCCTGCCAACCTTTTACAACTGAAAAGCAAACACAGGTTCACGCAATCCAAATATTACCGTGGGCACTCTTAAAAGATTCAAATTTGCGGAATACACACACGACAAAAATCGTAAGCAGAGTCTTAAGAATGGATGGAAAGCAGATAATAATATTCAAAGAGATTACATAATATTTAAAAGAGCAGATGATTATAAAAAAAAAACATTTTAAGCCCAGAACATTCTATTTTTGAATTAAGAAGATATTATTATTCGGTTTCTTAACCTTAATCATATGGATTTTAACCCCCGTTTCTTTCATCTTAGTGTTTAAATATTAGGCTTGTATATAAACAGCCTCAAGATTCCAGAATTCGGCAATACAAGTAGATCAGCCATTTCCCAGCCCACTTTTCCGCCAAACGCTTTGCGCTTAATGAGTTTTCTACTTGCGGTTTCGGGGAAAATTTGCGCAAAAATGCGACTCTTGCCTTTAAGTGGCAAGGGGACTGGAAAATGGGTTGGATGTTATGGGGCGTCGTGGTTTCTACCTTAGTGGTAAGCAGTGAACAACAGGACCGTATGCGCTGTAAATGTTTTAGTGGTTACCGCGTTTAAGTCATTAGAGAAAATTCCTAGCAACCAGAAAGGGGTTGGGTGATATTTGGTCCCAGAATTTGAATCTCAAAGGTTGTGAGTTGTATATATTATGCGGCAGTTTTTGGGCTTTGACAATTTCAATAGAGGCGGAAAATTCTTTGGGGTGTGTACTTGCAATGCCTTTGAACATTTTACAAGGTGAATTGTGAAACTACACTTTAAGGATAAGCTTTTGAAAGGAGACAAAAAATATTTTAGCTTAAAATACATGTTCAAATGGTTTTCGGTTTATCGTTGTAATAGAATATTTTGTATAGTGGTATTTTTTTGAATTTTTTCTTAAATTGTAAATTTATTAATAGAGGTGAGGGAGTCATCCTAAATATACAAAAATTGAAAAAAGTATTTTTTTTAATATGTGTTAAGAATCAAAAAAATTATATTTTTTCGTCAACTTTAAAAATTAAAATTGAAAATAAAAACCGCATTCAAGAAAATGTTAACGGCTCTTGCTTTTTAAAGAATATTTATTAATTTCAGCTTTGATATCTTTCTGTTGGTATGCCACTTATACCTTAATAAACTTGAAACTTCTTAAAATCGGATGAGTCCAATTAAAGTTGTGCAAATAATATTATAAGACATCTTGAAACATCTCGAATAACAAATAATAGAAAAGAAAATGAAACTTTTGCCAACTTTGTAACCATTTAAGCTATTAAAAATAAACTTCCTAAAAAACAAAGCCTCAACATATCTACTTAATTTTTGAAGTAGAATTATGTAGTACGAATTGAAGCAAATGTTGGGATGGTAAAGAGTACGATGGGTAAATAAATATACATTTTTTACATTAAATATTATTGCTAAGTTTCGACAAATTTAAAGGTGTTGGTCTTGGAAAGGTCTAGTTAATATAGCTAGGTAAATCTAGTACATTTTCTCTTAATTTAAAAATGAAACAGCAATAAAAGTCTACAATTTATTTTGAGATCCACTCAAATAGACGACTCGAGAAGAGTGCAATTGGTATGGGAAACAAACCCCTCTTAGCCATCGCTCTCTTGAGCGAAGCTTGTTTGGCTCATTTACTAGCTCACAAAGACCCCGACTCCGCTCTCTTACACCCCTAAACCGACTCTTTGCTGAAGCTCAAGAGACTTACCTCAGTGCAGTTCCACTCAACACACCCTCTCCAGAGTTTAGGCCGCACAGAGATTGATATATTTGACTGTCAAATATTGTATAGCCCATTACAAGTGCGAAAATATCGGCCAGATTCGGCTGTCTTTATGTGAACACTTCTGTCGCAATGACCGTAGCGGAACGTGTCCGACATCGGCTTTAAAAAATTAACAGCATTGCTCCAATTAGTCTGGGCGGTGCAGATCATAATTACATAGGCACACATCGGCTTTATAAATATTTCGCAGGCATCAAGCCACCGAACCTGCGTCACGGTACGCGGTTTTTGCGACTCCTTTCGTTTTTAACTCCACTTGGTAACCGCTCTTGTCAGACGGTTAAATTGAATTTATAAATAGTAATAGCCCTCCATTTATCGTTCACTGTCAAATTCTTTCTGCAAAGACCCACTAATCAAATATTTGCCGACTTACCTTTAAATAAAGGTTCGGCCAGACGCCTAACCTATTTGAACAAAATTAGCGTTGGCCTTTTATAAAAAATGAACGAAAAACAAAATGTATGTAATTTTTTACACGTTTTTTGCAATATTAAATCATTTTATTTAAGAACCCACTTCTTAGAAATATATAATTATTTCTTCTTTATTTTTAAAAACGATTGACAGTCTGGAGTTAAGTGCTGATTTTCTCGAATGAATAGCGCTAGGACATTTACTTTGTGAGTCTTAAATTTTTTAAACCACTTTTTGAAAGCCTGTGCTTACTTTTATTTACACTTTAAAGTTTGTAATAAGACAAAAGGTTTTTGAATAATCATACAAAATTGGTTAATTCAAAAGATGAATTGGACAATGTGGAAAAAAGTAATATAAACTTTTAAACAAAATTAAAAAATTGTAATCTAATAATTTTCATTTCATATACGCCTCAAACACAGGTATTTCATCAAACATTTAAGTCATTGATATGTTAGTCTATGGTTTCGGATGAAAATATTGTGTTTTTATTTAAGGCAAAAGGTTTAATCGAATATATCCTTTTAGCTTTCTTTAAAAAAATGATGAGAAAATACATTTAATAATATTACAATTAGGTGTCTTAAGTTAATACTATTAACTGAACTTTTTTGGAACCATTGAACCATTGCTTTGGTCTTCAGATGCCTGGATCGAATTGACCAAAAGGTAATTTAACTGTTTGCGAAAGGTCCTTAGCTGGACATATGGTGGTGATGGGCCTGGCTAATTATCGCTGAGATCTGCACTGCCGACAAAGGAAAACAAACAAATATTTACGGAGCACACATCCAATTGATTGCCTGCGGTGGACCTTCCCCTTACCTTTCCCTTACCTTTGCCCTTTCCATCCCATCGAACATCTGGTTTGAAATTGGAGTATCTCTGACCGGCCGAATCAGCTGGGTCCAAGGTCGCACCCCTATTATTTCCTCTGCAAACTCCCCATTTCCAATCATCACTTTATCTCTAATTTTTGCAATGGGGTCAATAATTAAACTAACGAAGAATTTGATACATTGTGATTTACCAAACACTGCAACATCTGTTTGTTTGAAGTGGTTATAGATTGCGAGCTTAACTAAAGTACGTTATTAACCCTTTTATAATGGATGTGTGATTCTAATAATTAATATGTCAATTATTATTAAATAAAAATTAAAATAATATTCAGGAATGCTAAGATTTGCAATCAATTAAAAGTTTTTAAGAATTATTTAGGATCACTCCTTAAATTTTTAAAAAAAAGTTAGGATCGCGCTAAGAATTTTTTAAAATTTCTCTGTCTATGGCTTGAAAATGTAACTAATATTTTTATACGCTAAGCAGTCAATAATATTTTATTAAAAGATCTACTTACTTTTTCTATAAAGTTATTAAACTAGACGGTACATCAAAATTCTTTTTCTGTGTGTATATTTTGGTTTCATATTTTCGTTACTTAACTTCTTGCCAAGAATCTAAAATTTTTCCATTAAAATTAGATTACAAAATGGAACATTAGTAGAAGCTTCTTTCTTTTTCATTTTTAAAGTGTAATACCAGGAACGACTAAGTTTTTATACCCGTTACTCGTAGAGTAAAAGGGTATACTAGATTCGTCGGAAAGTATGTAACAGGCAGAAGGAAGCGTTTCCGACCCCATAAAGTATATATATTCTTGATCAGGATCACTAGCCGACCCGATCTAGCCATGTCCGTCTGTCCGTCTGTCCGTCTGTCCGTCTGTCCGTCTGTCCGTCTGTCCGTCTGACCGTCTGTCCGTCTGTCCGTCTGTCTGTCCGGATGAACGCTGAGATCTCGGAAACTATGAGAGCTAGGCTATTAAAATTTGGCGTACAGATTCCTGAGCTTCTTACGCAGCGCAAGTTTGTTTCAGTAGACTGCCACGCCCACTCTAACGCCCACAAACCGCCCAAAACTGTAACTCCTACAGTTTTGATGCTAGACAGAAAATTTTAACTGAAATGTATTGTTCTCATCAATACCTATCGATTGACTTAAAAAAAAGTTTACCACGCCCATTTAAACGCCCACAAACCGCGAAAACCTGTGACGCCCACAATTTGCATGCTAGATAAAAAATTTAACTGAAATGTATTGGTGTCGTCAATACCTATCGATTGATCCAAAAATAAATTTGCCACGCCCACTCTAACGCCCATAACGCTTAAATCTGTCTACCGCCGGTGGCGCATTTTAATTTCGCTTTGCTGCTTGCATATCTCCATTTCCCTTTGAGTAACGGGTATCTGGTAGTCGAGGTACTCGACTATAGCGTTCTTTCTTGTTTTTTAATGCCTACTACCATGTCCAACGCCACCGTTTCTTCCCTGGGTCGAATTGATTGTTGGGCCGATCACCATGGTGCCATGACAGATCGGCGGGGCCCTCAGTATCCATCCGGAAATGGAGCGACGCAACGCGAACCCGGCTAGCCTGCTGTTGCACCTGACCGCCGCCGTGCACCTGGGCTACGCCATCTACTACGACTACCGGTTCGCGCAGATGCCCGAGTTGGCGGTGACCCTGCGGCTGGAGCCACCGATGGGCGGCAAGTTCAAGTATATGACCTTCCTGGGCGGCCTGCTGCAGTTCGGCTACTACGCCCTGGCGCTGACCTACGACCTCCTGCGGCTGAGATCCCTGAGAAAGCTGCGCGACTACATACTGGCCACTTTTGTGGTGCCCCTGGCCCTCACGGTGGGCATGACCTTCTGGACGCTCTACGGCATCGACCGCGAGTCGATCTATCCGGAGTTGCTGGACCTGGTGTACCCCAACTGGCTGAACCACGCCATGCACACCTTTGTGGTGGTCTATGCCCTGGTGGAAATGGGGGTCACCCGCCATCAGTATCCGCAGCGCAAGAGGGGATTCGCCGGACTGGGCGCCTTCATGGCGGGATACCTGGTGTGGCTTCACTTCGTCTGGTTCCGGACGGGCATCTGGGTGTACCCCTTCCTGGGGGGCCTCCAGTGGCCCCTGCGGATCCTTTTCTTCGCCCTGATCATGGCCCTCGGTTTCGGTTACTATCTCCTGGGCGAGCACGTCAACCTCGTCCTGTCGGTGCGAAGTCCCCGCGTTCGCAGATGGAGTGGCAGCGATTGAATGTCTACCACTGGTAATTTAAGATTAGGAACTAGGGCTGCTATAACTTAAAAACATATATGTAACTTTAGACCAGTTTACAAATGCATCTCACAAGTTTAGTTTATTCAAGCTTTACTATGCCTTAATAAAAGCTTAAGAAGTAAAGTAACCGTATAATATTAAAATTGTTCAGTCATTATAAACCCTATCATTTTTTAAATGTTTACTGGAAAATAATAATTTAAAAAATATATATGCTAGCATTCAGCCCTAAACCAAAGTAAAAATCAAATTTTACCACCTTTTAAAAGAAAGACGGAAACGGATATCGGTCTGAATAAATTATTTAGTTTTCCATATGCCATGATCATCGAAATCCATCTGCTTATGAGCAGAATTCATCTGGATTCCAACTTATTCACATTACATTTTATAACAGTCACGTGCGGAAATCTCAGCTGCCATATGATTCTGGAAAACTCATTCATTGTTTTACTCAATCCTTTCAGCGGGAGGTTCCGGTTTGGTCGGGATTTGGGCTCCGATTTCAAAAACATTTCAGGACACCACTTGTGCTAATATTTCGAAAGTCAGCACCAACAGCCAAAACTCAGTTTACCCATGGGACAGTTTCTATTGTTTGCTGGTAAGGCAGATGGGTAATAGCCCATTCCTGTCACTCAGTCTTTGTGTTCTCTACATGATGTCTTATTACAAACACTTCCTTTCTTATGTTTACTTGCCATATGATTGCCAAATAATAGTATATTAATAAATAACCAACTCATAATAGTTGGTGTGTTTTGCATAAGGAGGCTAACTGAATGAAGATGCCTTTGTAAAACTAATTTCATTTTAAGTTTTGTTGAAACTGCAATTGTTAATCATGCCTGACTAAAGGCATTAAATCTGATTAAATATGGTTTCAAGGCAAATATTAGAGGTGTTCCTTTAAAAAATGGCTTAATATAAGGGCGACAAATTCAGAAGATTATGGGAAATATATAGCCTAAAGTATAAATATTCATATTTTACTAGAAATATGTAAATAATCAAACAAAATTGTAGTAAAAATTGCGCCTTAGAAGTGGCGAATAAAATTTGTTTTTATTTCTTAATCATAAAGATGTATCAATTCTCTTTTAAAAGGTGGATACTCTAAGTGTGTTCTGAATATCGGCTAGCTGCCAAAAATATTTGCTCTTCAAATGCAATTTAGACTACGGCTTTATGAAAGGTTATAAACCCTAAAATCATCTGGGGCCGAACAGAAGCCGGATTGTTGACAAGCTGTTAAATTTCGATTAGCACACGCGAACAGCTGTTGGATTGTTTGATCAATTCTCTGGAGTAGCACGTTTGAAGATCGTTGGGGCATAACACCCAAGGTCAACGACAGCTGCCGCTAAAATGCTAAAAGTGGTCATTGATACTATACTTTTAGTATAATGTTTAAGCAAAATGAATTTGGGTTTTCCCTAAATCCCTAGACATAACGCTTTAACTTGCTGATATTTATATAGCTGGTTGTTAAAGAACCGACATCGAACTGGCTTTAATTGCTGGGACGCCTTGCTGACTCCGCTGGGCAATGGGCCATTAAAACTAATTGGTCTGATTGATTCATTTTCTCGCTGTGCACAGAGAAAATATCCAGCAAACATTGAAAAAGAGTGCATTTAAATAATATAGCGTTACTTGCTATATATAGATACAATTAGAAGATATTCAAGAAATTGAAAAGTCGAGTTTATTTTTAACGATTTATGGACCTTTAGTAAAAAAATTAGTTTCATTTAACATTATAAATTTGAACTTGCGGTTTGGTTTTCTCAGTGTGGAGCATACACATCAGTCATTGCATTCGCGTGCATGGTTTGTTAGTTCTTCGCAATTTAATTTAATTAATGAGCGTATGTATCAATTGGCTTGCAATTGTTTAATTACTTGTATCGTGCCGTGTTTTAGATGCTGATATTTTATCTCTTCCTCGAAACAAGAACACAAAGAAAACGTATAGTGTTTTAATGCTATCTTAGTTTAAGATTCTGAACTGCTTAATATTTTATTTTTAAATTGTGTTTGTACGTATTTATCTTGTTGTACATATGTATTAATATAAATGATTAATTCAATAATACAAAATATGAAGTGTGATCGTTTTAAGACAACATTTCCAAAGATTTTATTTCAAATACTATCGCAATTCAAAAAATATATATATTGGCAGGTAAGAAAGTGGGGATCATATGGATTTTATAGTTGTATAGACGACTGTGTAGCGCGTTAATTCAATTATTGTCGTGAAAATGATTTGCATGAACTAGCATTTAATAAATTTGTCAATTGATCGCCACACGTAGTTCCAGGCGTCACGTAGGTTATAACGCAATGAGACACGTTGTTCCGATGTCGCCATCGATTACCTGTGACGTAGAACGGGAAGTTGGACGACGACACGTGCGGTTCAGAGGTTAGCGGCTACGTCAAAGAAACCTCTCCACATAGCGACACATGCCCGGGAGGATCGGTGAAAACTAACCAGACATCACTTCGAATTACCATGACGTGGGCGCCACTCATACGATACATTCTATGTATTGTAATATTGTAATATTAAATCGATAGACGATTTGACCTCTTATCTACTGCTAGCTTAGTTGTGATTGGAAAAGTTTAGATCCTTAAAGGAAAAGGAAAAAAAACGTATCGCGAAATAAGATTACTTTCCAGACTGTTTCATATCTAGAATTCTGGTTATTATACAAAGAAGTCGGGTTCAGAACGAGAGAAAATCTTTTGATATATTTAAAATCTCTTGGTGACAACGTAAGTCAGTATCCTCTTCATAAATATCGTGTTTTTAAGGGCAGATAAATTACTGACACTTTCCATTTTTTTGCACCTCCAAGTAGCAAAAGCTCGATTGAAGACCGCGACAAGCCGGTCTTCGGTTTAAAATCGCTGTTGGCAAAGGTGACTAACAGTACTTTCTGGCCTGGCCGTCGTTGGGGCTCCGATAATTATCCGCCGAACCTTCAACTCGCGTGCTGTTACTGGGCGACCGACAATCGAGAAACCGGTCGATGACTAATCATCAATCATGCGATGTTGTGAAAAGTGCCTCGATCTGGCCTGCAATTGCACGGATCCCGATCTGATCGCTCTCGCGACCGTTTTCTTTTTTAAGCCAAACCGAATATGGAATTCCCTAAAATTATATTTTTGTTGATAAGACTATCGAGTTTCGATTTTTTATGGCTAATGATAATGCACATACCTTGCTATTCTATAAGTTCTCTTTCATTAGTACACGGAGATTTGAGTTTTTAGAATATTTCAATGATATAGAATAATAAGGAATACCTTTTTTGGTTTCTAAAATATTTTGAAAATAGCTTTAAATAAGTTTTACCCATATAAGTTTTTGAAGAAAAATAGATCAGAAAAGCAGGTGTGTCATTCCCTTAAAACAATTAAATAATTTTTTTAATGGATTAACCTTACCTTTCCGTTTCATAGAGTATTTAGTAGTTAATAGCTACCTGATGTAGTTTTTCTTTATTACAGTCCGCAGTTTAATGTCATCATAGGCGTGCGTCCACTGCATATATCTCAAACTTTAAGTTTCCTTATAATAAAAAGTAAATTAAATATATTTTTATATTCAGTCTTATTGTCTGTAACTTCAGTTTTAGCACATAAAGCCAACATGTGTAATTTAATTGGACCCCCCTTTCCACGCCCATGCATGGCAGTTCAACCGCAGCGGGCACAAAATCACACGCTGCCGTCAGCTTGTCTGGCGCGATTTTATTTTAGCGTTTGTTGCTGCCTTTTTTGTATTTTCCCCTAACACTATTTGCAGTTAGCCGTTGGCCGTGTAATTGCAGGCAAAAAGGCGGCACAAATGTCGTTTGGCCGCTCCACCCGGCAAACCCCCTTTCAGATGGCTCTAGAGGTGAGCATATTTTCAATTTTAAACACATATACTGGGGGTAGTAACGGTATCGAATGTATATAAGAGTGGCCTTTTAAATCCTCAAAAATTAAAATAGATTTGATCAGGGAAAAATAAAAAATTTGTAATTCCGCTTTATTTCATATAGTATCTTAAGAACTAGGTAATTAGAATAATGTTGAAGTACAAGATTTTAAACTTGGATCTTTGGAAATCATAATTTTCTTTTAATTTATTTTGTTTTTTGATTTTAGTTACATCTCTAGGGTGCACCTTATAATGATTTTATTGTACCGGGTTATATCGTGAGACTTACGTAAACGAGCAAAGGCGGTAAAATGAAATAAAATACAATTTTTATAATGGGCGATTCCCATTGCGGCATCGGGCATCAAACGATTTCTGGCTGGCGATCCCAATTTTAAAAACAGAACATTATAAACTCATGTCAATAAGCTTCAAATCCTACATATTTTTAAAGACTTAGGAAATCTTATGAATACAGAGAATAACGTAGCAACACAATATTTCCTGTGAAAGAAATAATAGTTTTCAACGACCAACTTAATATTTTTAAAAATTTTAAAAGCTAATGAAAGTATTAAGTTTTAAATATTTATTTTACCCAGTGTCTACAAATTAATAATAATTATATCGCTGAAAGCAGCTGTAGTTGCGGCATAACCGTCTAAAGATCTAACTCGAAGCGAAAGCCCTATGGCAATATGGGTGCGAATTGCGTCAGAGACTGTGTGAAAAGCTAATGGACGAGCAGAATGCCAAATTCAATTTACGATTCCCCAGTTCGGCTGAGATTTCCTCTTCACTCATTTCGATTTCAGTGCAGCTTCCGATTTGGCCTGCCGCCTGCGGTTTATGTTTGCCAATTCTACGGCGTCTTTCACTTGCCGCATCTTTCCACCAATTCTGCCGCCGACAGGCCACACACATCTCTGCCCCTTTCAGAAACACACAAGTATCTGGGCATCTGACTATCCGACTATCTGAGAAATGCAGCAGAGCCGTGCAGAACAAAAAAGATCAAAAGGCACACTGCAATCGTGCTCTGGGTCCCCTGGAAAAACCATAATTGGGAAGTATTAGGCAAGAGCGGAATATGTGGCTCAAATTTTATGATTTTAGGTATTTAATAATATATATTTTATTATATTTTTAATACAATACTTAAAATACTTTGCGGTAAGTATAAAAACCGAACTAAAATTAA